AAAAAAAAAAAAAAAAAAAAAAGAAGAAACAAAGCTACAGCTAAGCTTTTTTTTTAGCTTTGTTTCTTTTTTTTTTTTTTTGAATGTCCAGAGGACCAGATTGAACTTTTTTGGATTGTGTAATAGCGGCTCTCAGAGACATTAAATTTCCACCTTCTAAGCCCAGATTAATTCAAAAAAGGAATCTGAAACGTTTTTGTGAACAGACATTCCTCTGGGATCTGTCTCACTTTGACTGGCATCATATTCTGTTAACTGATGACGTGAACTCCGCTTGGAACTATTTTCACAATAGTTTCATTTATTTCCTGAACTTACATGCTCCTTTTCGTCAGTTCAGAATAAAGGGACGAGACAGACCCTGGTTTACTCCAGAGCTAGCTGACCTCCTGAACAGGAGAGATCATCTTTGGGCCACAGCGAGAAAATCTGACTCAGACACTGATTGGTTGAGTTTTCGACAGATGAGGAATAAATGCACAACTGCTGTCAAAGCAGCAAAACACAACTATTTCTTATCTCAGACCTCCAAAAATCTAAATGACCCCAACAGATTCTGGAAAACCATCAAATCTCTCTCAGGCCAATCATATTGGCCAATCTCCCAATCATCTGACCTCCCATCACAACTTCTCATTAACTCTGTTCCTGTGTCAAATAAGCACGAGATCCTGAACTGTTTCAACAAACATTTTGTTGCTTCTAGTTCTTTATTTGATACAGTTACTAATGGAAAATCAGCCACTTCACTTAATAACCAAACTTCTACAAATCAAATCCCTCCTACAAGTCAATCCTCAGTTAATCACACCTTCTCTTTTTCTCCATTCTCAGTCAGTGAGGTCAATAAATTGTTAAAAGATCTTGATCCTAAAAAATCTGCAGGTCCAGATGAACTTCCACCTTATTTCTTAAGGCTGGCTGCTCATATCATCACAGTCCCTGTGACCCACATCTTCAATCTCTCCATAAGACAAAACTCCATCCAGACACTTGCAAACAGCCTTTGTTCTTCCTTTGCTGAAGGGAGGTGACCCCACCTCACTGAACAACTATGGACCAATCTCTAAACTCTGCATTTTAGCCAAGGTTCTAGAAAAACTGATAAACTCTCAAATCAAAAATTACCTGGACTCATTTAACATCTTACCTCCACATCAATCTGGTTTCAGGAAACAACACAGCACAACCACTGCTTCACTGAAGGTTCTTAATGATGTTGTTGAAGCACTGGATGCTAAGGATTATTGTGCTGCACTTTTCTTACACCTGTCTAAAGATTCTGACACTGTGGATCAGAACATCTTGTGTCATAAGCTCTCAGAAATCGGTTTCTCAGATCACACCATTGGTTGGTTCTCTAACTATCTCTCAGACCGGAGGCAATGTGTTCAACATAATGGTACTTCCTCCAGTTATTTAACAGTCAACAATGGTGTACCACAAGGCTCAGTCTTAGGACCCACCCTCTTTACTATCTACGTATGTAATGTAGGTAAAAACATCTCTAATGCATCCATACATTTCTATGCTGATGACACGGTTGTTTATTGTTGAGCTAAAACTGTTGCTAAGGCTTTCCAGCTTTTGAAATCTGCATTCAACATCATCCAGACTGATTTGTTTCGCCTCAAACTTGTCCTAAATGCCGATAAAACCAAAGGGATGCTTTTTCAAACAGGAAGTTGGTCCCAGCAGTTCTTCCTCCGATTTTATCCTCAAATGGTGTCCCCATTGATTTTGTTGATTCCTATAAATATTTGGGTATCTTGGTCGACTCACATCTTTCTTTTAAGTTTCATGTGGAAAACCTAGTAAAGAAACTGAAAGTTAAACTGGGTTTCTTTTTCAGAAACAGATCCTGTCTAACCCTGAATGCTAGAAAACACCTTGTATCTGTGACTTTCCTTCCCTCCATTGATTACGGTGATATTATTTACATGAACGCTCCTACAAGAACCCTGCAGATGTTGGAAGCTGCAGATGTTGGATGCTGTCTATCATGGTGCACTAAGATTCATAACTGGCTGTAACTACCGTACCCACCACTGCACCCAGTATCCACTGGTTAACTGGTCACCATTAACTTCACGCAGACTCTCTCACTGGTACATTTTCATCTTTAAATCACTTCTTGGTCTGCTGCCTTCATACATCTCCTCCTACATGTCTCTGTGTGAGTGCAGCTACAGCGTGCGCTCTCAGGACATCATTAACTTCATGCAGACTCTCTCACTGGTACATCTTCATCTTTAAATCACTTCTTGGTCTGCTGCCTTCATACATCTCCTCCTACATGTCTCTGTGTGAGTGCAGCTACAGAGTGCGCACTCAGGACATTATTACCTGCAGTGTTCCCTCAATGAGGACTGAACTAGACAAAAGGACCTTTTCCTACTCCGCTCCTGTTTCCTGGAATATCTTGTAAAAACATCTGAAGCTCTCGACCTTTGACCTCTCTAAGTGGCTTTAAGAATCTGTTGGACTCCTGGCAGGGTCCAATGCAGACATGTTCCTGTTTTTAGTTTTCTACATTCGCCTTATGATCTAGATGTTTTGGGGGGGGTTTGCTACTTTTTTGGCCATCTTTGTAAATGTAAATTCTTTCCTGATTTAATTGTCTCCAACTCCCACAACCCCCGAGTTCTTTTCTCCACCCTGAACTCAGTTCTACACCTCAGTGAGCCTTCACCTCTGGAAGCCTCAACTGAGCTGTGTAAAAACTTCCTCCATTTCTTTTTAGAAAAAGTGGCAAACAGCCGGACACTCATTTCTCCACCAGCTCATGATCTGTCCATCCCATCTCAGTGCGTGGCTGTGTTTGACCACTTTGAGCCCATCTCTCTGTCTTCTCTAGAGCAGGTAATGTGCAGCATGAAGCCATCTGGTTCCCCCTTTGATGTGGTCCCCCCTCGACTACTAAAGGAAGTTTTTCCTACCCTGGGTCCTTTTATTCTCGCTATTCTGAATAGCAGTTTATCCTCAGGTGTGGTGCCAAAGACTTTTAAACATGCTGCTGTCCAGCCCCTCCTGAAAAAACCTAACCTTGACCCCTCAGTCATGTCCAACTTCCGGCCTGTCTCCAGACTCCCATTCACCTCTAAACTACTGGAAAGAATTGTGGAGTCTCAGTTGAAACAGTTTTTGGGGGATCACGCTATCCTTGAGTTATTCCAATCTGGCTTCAAATCTCTCCATAGCACTGAAACTGCTCTACTGAAGGTTTTTAATTACATTTTCATATCCACAGACGCAGGTGATTCTGTGCTGCTTGTCCTATTGGACCTTACATCTGCTTTTGACACCATCGACCACAATATCCTCATTTCTAGACTGGAGCAGTGGGTGGGCATCACAGGGTCAGCCCTTAAATGGTTTGGGTCCTACCTCTCTGACAGAACCTTCTGTGTCAATATCAAAGATTTTAGTTCGGCATCGACCGCACTCCAGTGGGGGGTACCGCAGGGGTCCATCCTCGGTCCCCTTCTCTTTTCTTTATACCTGCTGCCACTAGGTGCTATCTTCCGCAAACACGACATACCCTTTCATTTCTATGCCGATGATTGCCAAATTTACTTCCCCCTGAGGCACAGAGGCACACGCTCTATTCAGCCTCTTCTTGACTGCCTGGCTGACATCCGGGACTGGATGGCTTTAAACTTCTTAAGCTTCAATGAGAAGAAGTCTGAAGTCATGCTGTTCCATCCCAGTGGCTCACTCATGAACCATGACATTGACCTTTTCTCTCTAGCCCCGCTAGAGAAACAAAAGGTGACTAATCTGGGGGTGATAATGGACCCGTCCTTAAAACTCAACAGTCACGTAAACATGATGGTCAAATCCTGTTTTTTTCAGCTGAGACGGCTGTCTAAGCTGAAGCCTATACTCTCCAAAAAGAACCTTGAGACAGTGATCCACAACTTCATAACATCTAGGCTTCATTACTGCAATTCACTTCTGTTTGGAATCAGTCAGTCCTCCATTGCTCGTCTACAACTGGTCCAAAATGCTGCAGCCCGATTCTTAACTGGTACAGGCTATAGAGAGCACATCACGCCAGTTTTGGCCTCCCTGCACTGGCTACCCATTCACCTTCGGATCCAATTCAAAATTCTCATGTATGTTTTTAAATCACTGAAAAGTTCCGCCCCATCCTATCTCACTGATCTTCTGCAGCCATATGTCCCACCGCGCTCTCTGAGGTCAGCAGACCAGATGCTTCTCTCAGTCCCAGAAACCCGTCGTAAGCTCAGAGGTGACAGGGCTTTCTCTGTTGCAGGTCCACGACTGTGGAATGAGTTGCCACTGAGTGTCCGGCAGGCTCCCACACTCTCAGTCTTTAAGTCTCGCTTGAAGACCCACTTCTATTCGCTTGCCTTTAACACGGTGTGATTTGTTTTGGTCCGGTCTGTTCTCTACTCTGTTGGCCATTTTAGTTAGCTTCTGCTGCTATTTGTATCTGTATTTCTATTTTATGTTTTCCTGTCTGCTGTGCATGTTTGGTTCTTTTGTACAGCACTTTGGTTGGCCTTGTTGCTGTTTTAAGTGCTATATAAATAAATTGGTATGGTATGGTATGGTATCTTTTCTAACTATCTATTGTTGTCACTGTTGTCCATTGTTGTCATCTTTCTTTGTTGAAATCAGGTCTCTCTTGTAAACAAGTCCTTGAGGCTCAACAGTATTAACCTGTCTAAATAAAGGTTGAATGAATGAATTCAGATGAAATCAGTTTTGTTGTGTGTTTCCTTGACTGATGAAGCCTTCTGGACCGAAGGCGAAACGTTTCAGTACAAATAATAGAAACTGTCCAGATGACCAGACTGAAAAATGTTGGGTTGTATACCTGGATTATTGAGCATGGACTTTGTTGTTTAATTCAGATGAAACTTTCCAAACCTAAATCATACGGCCATTAAGAGGACACAGAGGTGGTAAAACAGTCAACAGGAACTAATTTACTCTTCATGTTCTTCCACACTGTAAGAACAGAAAAAAACAATGGTGGGACTGGAACATTCTCCATCTAATTGCAGCTGTGGGCATTTTCATCAGAGTTTCTGCAGTTTGTGGAAAAGAAGGGAGGGCTCCTGGTGGTCAATCCACATGAATGGAACAGACTCTGGTTATGGTCTGTTTGTGAACTGTGGATGAAGATAGGGATCCTGCAGACAGGTGTGGACACAAACATCCAACACAGAGGTCCAACATGGGAGCAAAACAAACGTGTTGCTAAATAATGTCCTCAACTAAAATACATCAGCCTTTTTACCTTTTGGTTACGTCCTGATACTTTTAACAATTGTTCTATTTATTTAGCTACTTAGTCAGAGTTAGTATATTTACTGTCATAGCAGCTGGTACTCCTCCGATATATAAAGGTCCTGTGATCCGAGTCCTGGTTCCACCTGGTATTCTCTGGGACTGAGCACTGATACCGTCTACTATCAGACTGATCCTGGAGCCTTCATGTTTTATAAAGACCTGCAGCGACACAGAAGGTAAATAAAAATAACTTAGAAACTCTATAAACTTATCTTCATCATCATTTACAGATAATATTAATAATAATAATGAAGGTGGCTGTGGCTGAGTGGTTAGCGCAGTCGTCCACCAATGCAAGAGTTGGGGGTTTGAATCCACCAGCAGTCACATGCCGAAGTGTCCCTGGGCAAGACACTGAACCCCTCATAGCCTCTGATGTGTGTCCATCAGTGTATGAATGTGATAAAGCTCTGATTAGTCTCTTTAGAATGATTGGTTCAATTGTCTTTGTAGAGATCTAGTATAGAGCTGTATGAATGGGTAAATGAGGCACAGATTGTTGTAAAGAGCTTTGAATATCTTGAAATAAGATAGAAAGGCGCTATATAAGTACAGTCCATTTACCATTTAATAAAAAATAATAATTATCTGTGTATTCTATAATCCTAAAACAAAATGAATCATCTGTTTTACTTTTTATATGTAGACTTTAGAAAAAGAGATGCCTAGAAAAGTTCTTAAAATAAGGCTCATTCAGTAGCTACACACGTGTGATAAATAATAAACATATGTTGTCCATCATGTTCCCTTTACTGAATTAAAACTTTAACGAACACATATCGTCCATAACATCTCAGAGCAGAGTTTTAAGTGAAGATAATCTTCTTCTGTATAAGTTGTAGCAGTTTTGTTCAAGCGTTCCAAGAAAAACATACTAAAAGACAGATAATTCTCCCCTCAGGGATGTGTGTTGAGCCCCCTCCTGTTTACTCTGCTCACGTATGATTGTGCAGCTACCCATCCAGGCTGTCACATTGTAAAGTTTGCAGATGATACAGCGGTGGTGGGATGCATCACAAACAATGATGAGTCCAGCTACAGGCAAGAGGTGGAACACCTGGAGAGCTTGTGCAGAGAGAATAACCTTCACATCAATGTGAAGAAGACAAAGGAGATGATTGTGGACTTCAGAAGGAACAAAAACACCTACACCCCCCTGAACATCAGAGGATCTGCGGTGGAAGTGGTCTCCAGCTACAAGTACTTGGGTGTACACCTGAACAACAACCTCAGCTAGAGCAACAACACCACCAGCCTGATGAAGAAAGCTCATCAGAGACTCTACTTCCTCAGACGGCTGAGGCGAGCTGGTCTGGAAGCTCAGTCCTCACCTCCTTCTACAGGTGTGCAGTGGAGAGCATCCTGTGCTCCAGCATCAACGTGTGGCATGGAGGCTGCACAGCTGCAGAAAGAAAAGCTTTGCAGAGAGTGGTGAAGGCTGCACAGAAGATGTTGGAGTCAGTCTCCCCACCATCACAGACATCTGCACCTCCAGATGCAGGAAGAGGGCCACCTGCATCATGAAGGACCACACTCACCCAGCACACACACTTTTTGCCCCACTCCCCTCAGGAAGGAGGTTAAGGAGCATTAAGTGTAGAACCACTAGACTTAGGAACAGCTTCTACCCTGAGGCTGTTAGACTCATGAATCTCTAACCAGGAGAATCACATCATGTTGCTGCTGATCTGTTTCATGTTGCTGCTGATCTGTATTATGTTGCTGCTGATCTGTGTCATGTTGTGTTCATTCATGCTCATCTGCTCACACACACTCATGTTCGTGCTGCTGTTCGGTGTACTGTTTTTGAATTTAGTGCTTAGTGCATTTTTAGTTTAACGTTTTTCTTAGTTCATATCTTAGATCTTATTACTGTTTTTTTCTTTTACATTTTATTGTTGGATGTAACTGGGACCCTGTGTACACAATGTCATTCCACCACATGTACCACATGAGGTGGAATGACAAAGAAATTCGGTGACTCTCTCTGATATTCACTTGTTCAAACGATGATTCATCCAGTGGTTCACAGGATATTTAGTTAACCAAAAGTTTTAGAACCAACAGTTTATGCTAAAGTCTGAAGTAAAGATGCAACATGATCTGTTGGCACTCGGTACATACTAATTTTAGGTTTAGCATCGGTTTTCTTCATTTTAGCTGTAACATGTTTTGTTGCTTTTAGCTACTGTTTCTAGTTTAAGCAACAGTTTTACTAATTCAAGTATATTTAATGTCATTTGCATCACGTGGTAGATGAGGTGGAACAAAATTGTGTACACAAGATAAAGTATAAAAAGAAACAGTACGGTATATAAGGACCTAATAAATAAACTAAGATATGAACGTTAACATGCTAAAAGATCTAAGATATATATGACAAACACTAATAATGTAAAACAATACAGTATATTAAACAGCAGCCTGAACATGAGTCTGTGGTGAGCAGATAGGTATGAATGAATACAGCAGCATGAGATAATCAGCAGCATGAGATCAGCAGCATGGATAACCCACCAGCAGTCACATGTTGAAGTGTCCCTGGGCAAGACATTGAACCCCTCACTGCCTCTGATGTGTGTCCATCAGTGTATGAATGTGATAAAGCTCTGATTAGTCTCTTTAAAATGATTTGTTCAATTATCTCTGTACAGATCTAGTATAGATCTGTATGAATGGGTAAATGAGGGCACAGATTGTTGTAAAGAGCTTTGAGTATCTGGATAAGATGGAAAGGTGTTATATAAGTACAGTCCATTACTCTCTGCAAAGCTTTTCTTTCTGCAGCTGTGCAGCCTCCATGCCACACGTTGATGCTGGAGCACAGGATGCTCTCCACTGCACACCTGGAGAAGGAGGTGAGGACTGAGCTTCCAGACCAGCTCGCCTCAGCCGTCTGAGGAAGTAGAGTCTCTGATGATCTTTCTTCATCAGGCTGGTGGTGTTGTTGCTCCAGCTGAGGTTGTTGTTCATGTGTACACCCAAGTACTTGTAGCTGGAGACCACTTCCACCGCAGATCCTCTTATGTTCAGGGGGGTGTAGGTGTTTTTGTTCCTTCTGAAGTCCACAACCATCTCCTTCGTCTTCTTCACATTGATGTGAAGGTTGTTCTCTTTGCACCAGCTCTCCAGATGTTCCACCTCCTGCCTGTAGCTGGACTCATCTTGTTTGTGATACATCTAAAACAAACTGGTCCAGATGACATGATTTAAGCTTTTTTGTTTGTGATGCATCTCACCACAGCTCCATCGTAGTTTTAGCACCTTTTACTTAAATACTATGTTGCGACAAACAGAACAAACTTTAGCTTAATATCTATTAGATTGACTGAGTTATGAACAATTTTATGTAAGCTAAGACTCGCTGTCACAGCCATCTTGAATTGAGTTGGATCCCAAAGTTCATATGAATAGTGAATGTACTGCCAAGAATTACTTTGTGAGAGTTTCACTAAAATCCATCCAACGGTTGGGAAAATTTTGTTAACAGTACAGACAAACAAACCCAGACACAGTAAAACAAGAATTTGTGCTTCTCCTCCTCTGGGCGGTGGTTGATAATAAGCTTCCTTAGCACGGTGTGATGATTGTGCCTGTGAGCTCACCGTGTGCCACCGCTCATCGTTGTACTTGTTGCTGCTGTGCAGGCTGACCTTCCTCCTGCCTATGTCTAAGGACAGCAGCAGGAACCCATGTGAGATGCTGAGCGACATCCCTGCTCTGGCTCGCTGGCTGCCAGCAGCGTGCAACACGCAGCCAGAAGACGAGCCGATCTTCAGCTCCAAGGACAAATGAAGCCTGCAACGATGCAGCGTAGTTAAACCAGACAAACGTATTCTTCTGGGAACATGAAGCATAGACATTGAGTGCTGAAAACTTTTGTGAAATTTACTGAAGAATCTGAAACAGAGTTGTTAAAGTTATAACAAACAGCCACTCTCTGAGTGTTGTGAATGACTCTCAGCTACTACCACGTTACGTTTTAGCTCAGGATCTGTAAAACAGACCGAGTTTGGCTAATGTTGATTAGCTGTAGCAATCTTCTTGAATTGGGTTGACTGCAAATTTACTTGTAGATGTGTATCAAACGGGGCTTAATTTGTAAACTGATCCATGTCGGAACACAAATAGTGGGCAGGCCAGCTGAGGTGGGGTGGGAGGGGGGATGGAAGAGGGGGTCCTGGGGTCCTCACCCAGAAAATTTTGAATAAATTAGAGGCGATTTCCTGCATTTTGGTGTATTTTAATGATTTGTTAAGCATCTATGTTTACCTGCATTTGTAAACACCTGCATCCTAACCACCCCCCCCCACCCCACTTACTTGATGGTTCGGAGCCGACTCTGCTGAATTCACTGTTCAATTCCAAATGTGAAACCTCCAGGCACTCTGTTAGAGTACACTTTATCGATTACCGTTTTTCCAGACTTCAACTCACACCTTTTTTCATAGTTGGGCCAGTCCTGTGATGTATAGTCCGAAGCGACTTATATACATTTTTTTCCCTATTTATGAGGAAATTATTGACCGACGCGTTAAATGTTCATTCATACTGACATGAATTAAAGAGTAAACATTACCATTTGCAACTGCGAGAGGGCCCCCTAGGCTTTTGACAACTGCAGGTGCTGGTCATAAAATGAGAATATCATAAAAAAGTAGATTTATTTCAGTAATTCCATTCAAAAAGTAAAACTTGTATATTCTATTCATTCATTACACACTGACTGATATATTTCAAATGTTTATTTATTTTAATGTTGATGATTATAACTGACAACTAATGGCATCTTTTAAAATTTCAGATGAAGCAGTGGGTTGGTTTACTTCATATCTCCGACAGGCAGCAATGCGTTAAAGTGGCTCAAGATAAATCTTCTTTTTTAAATATCAAAAGGGGACTTCTACAGGGCTCTATATTAGGGTCACTGTTATTCAATGTCTTTATAAATGACCTACCTGTTGTATGCAATGGTGTAAATAGTCAACTTTACGCAGATGATGCAGTATTTTATGCACCTGCTAAGACACCACAACAGGCGGCACATGTCTTGCCTGCCTGTATGGAGGAAGTGAACCGTTGGTTATTCAATAATGAGTTAGTCATCAATTTAAGTAAAACAGTGTCAATGTGCTTTTCTATTAGAAAACAACATGTACAACAAAATTTTCAAATTTATTTACAGGATGAAATGATTAAAAATGTAACAGGATTCAAATATCTTGGGCTGTTTTTAGATCCACATCTAAAATTTGAGAATCATATGAACAACATTTCCAAAAAATTCAAAAGAAACCTTAATTGTTATTTTTAATTAATAACACCTTATATTCCTGTACAGGCTGCTCTTCAGTATATGCATGCCATGATATTCTCTCATATCTCATATTGTATATATAGTGTAACCATCTAACCCTTAGTGTATCAGTAGTTTAGCTCCTCATCCACTGAGCTCATTTATACAGAAGCAGAACAGTTGCAGAGTCACCAGAGGATCTTTAGAACAGAACTGAAGAACCTCGTTAGGTCAGACTTCTTCTTCCTATAAAGGCACAACATTATGGAACTTACTGCCCCCACATGTAAAAACTATACATGAACTTAAAAAGTTTGTTTACATGACTAAATCTTGGCTAAAGGAAAATCAAAGATGTGATAATTTTTAATACTCGAACTTTATGAATGAGAAAGTTTTTGTTGGAGTGTATGTATTAGTGAGTTAGAGTCAGAGTCAGAGATTCTTTATTGTCATTCGCACCTCATGTGGTACATGTGGTGGAGCGAAATTATGTACAAGGGGTCCCAGTTACATCCAACAATAAAATGTATAAGAAAAACAGTAATAACATCTAAGAAAAACATCAACTAAATATACACTAAGCACTCATAACATAAAACATTGAACATCAGCACAAACATGAACATGAGTCTGTGAGCAGATGTGCACGCATGAACACATCAACATTGAAACAGATCAGCAGCAACATGAAACAGATCAGCAGCAACATGATGTGATTTTCCACAGTGATTCTCCTGGTTAGTGATTCATGAGTCTAACAGCCTCAGGGTAGAAGCTGTTCCTCAGTCTAGTGGTTCTACACTCAATGCTGCTCAACCTCCTTCCTGAGGGGAGTGGGGCAAAAAGTGTGTGTGCTGGGTGAGTGGGGTCCTTCATGATGCAGGTGGCCCTCTTCCTGCATCTGGAGGTGTAGATGTCTGTGATGGTGGGGAGACTGACTCCAACATCTTCTGTGCAGCCTTCACCACTCTCTGCAAAGCTTTTCTTTCTGCAGCTGTGCAGCCTCCATGCCACACATTGATGCTGGAGCACAGGATGCTCTCCACTGCACACCTGTAGAAGGAGGTGAGGACTGAGCTTCCACACCAGCTCGTCTCAGCCGTCTGAGGAAGTAGAGTCTCTGATGATCTTTCTTCATCAGGCTGGTGGTGTTGTTGCTCCAGCTGAGGTTGTCGTTCATGTGTACACCTGAGTACTTGTAGCTGGAGACCACTTCCACTGCAGATCCTCTTATGTTCAGGGGGGTGTAGATGTTTTTGTTCCTTCTGAAGTCCACAATCATCTCCTTTGTCTTCTTCACATTGATGTGATGTTAGTATTATATTTACAATTTTTAGTATGTTAGCTGAATGTGTGAGGAAGGGGTGGTATTGAGGATGTGCTAGAATATTTATGTTAATTTGGGGGTTGCAAGGTTATTTTAGAATTTATAGAGACGAAAATATTTTATATTTTTATTGAATTTAGATTTTTAAATTGTTTGTATTTTAATGTATATTTTTTATTATATGAATTTGGAGGTTGTTAGGTTTATTACATGAATATGTAGGCAGGTAGGTACACTTACTGTATTTAGATTGATAAATTGTATGTATTTGAATGCGTACAAATGCCCAACCAGGGACTGGAGTTGTGAATTAGCTGTAGCTCTATACTCTGTGCAACGCATCAGTCACAGACTTGTTCTGTTCCATGTTTGTGTGCACTGTCCCTGTCAAATAAACTAATGAACAAAAACTAAAAACAAAAACTATTGGCTTCATCAGATCGTGATCTACAGCATTCGCTGGAGCAGTTTGCAGCCGAATGCGACGCGGCCGGGACGAAGATCAGTTCCTCCAAATCCGAGGCCATGGTCTTGAGCCGGAAAAGGGTAGAGTGCCCTCTCCGGGTCAGGGAGGAGGTCCTGCCCCAAGTGGAGGAGTTCAAGTATCTTGGGGTCTTGTTCATGAATGAGGGAAAAATGGAGCGTGAGATCGATAGGCGGATAGGTGCAGCGTCTGCAGTGAAGCAGGGGCTATACAGGTCTGTCGTGGTGAAGAGAGAGCTGAGTCAAAAGGTGAAGCTCTCAATTTACCGATCGATCTACGTTCCCACCCTCATCTATGGTCACGAGCTTTGGGTTGTGACCGAAAGAATGAGATCTCGGATACAAGCGGCCGAAATGAGTTTTCTCCACAGGGTGTCTGGGCTCTCCCTTAGAGACATGGTGAGAAGCTCGATCATCCGGAAGGGACTCAGAGTAGAGCCGCTGCTTCTCCATGTCGAGAGGAGCCAGTTGAGGTGGCTTGGGCATCTGTTTAGGATGCCTTCTGGACGCCTCCCTGGTGAGGTGTTCCGGACACGTCCCACCGGAAGGAGGCCCAGAGGAAGACCCAGGACACGCTGGAGGGACTATGTTTCTCGGCTGGCCTGGGAACGCCTCGGGATTCCCCTGGAAGAGCTGGCCCAAGTGGCTGGGGAGAGGGAAGTCTGGGCCTCCCTACTTAGGCTGCTACCCCCGCGACCCGACCCCAGATAAGCGGAAGAAAATGGATGGATGGATGGATGGACTAACCAATATGAACTCATTTCCCATGAAACGGACAGATCGTTTTAATGGAAGCTTTTGTTCAACTGACCTCTGAGTTTGAAACATCCGAAAAACTCACAACATTGATATCTTGCCTTATCGACAAAGTAATACTCCCAAACTCTGGTTTCCATGAAGATGATAACACAGAAAGAGGCTTTGTTTGTTCAAACTGACATTCCTTTTCCAGGGGATGGACAGTCAACAGCAACACCTCTGTTAAAACATTGCATGTTTTAAGTTTAATTCTAAAATGTCATACGTTGATTGTTTAATCATGAAAATGTGTGTTTTAAGTAATCTTTCTTTAAGCTAATACATTTGCCTTATTTTCTCTTTTAAAAGGAAAACTTTTAATGCAGAGAAAAAGGGACTTTAGATTTTTAAAAGAAGGCAAAAGTTAGAACCACCCCTCCCGAGGTGGATCAGTCCTATCTGTTTTAGCACAGACAGTAAGTTTCACTTTTAAGAAAAAAACTCCAAAGGGACACACATCTCAGAGAACTGGGAGCGAGGAGAAACTCCAAAGCTTTCACACTGGAGTGAGAAGAAACACAGCTTCTGCACTTGACCTCAAAGAATTGAGAGAGAAGAACCTTCAGCAGACAACTTTGAGAAAACGAGAGGCACCCTTCTGCAGACGTCTCAAGACGAGAGACAAAAGAAAAGATGGAGTTCACAGAACCCACCGTTTAAACATCAGCAGAATCCAGGGCTCCAATTAACTAATGCCCCTTTTCCACTGTCACGGCGCGGGTCGGATATCTCTGGCTTCACGCGCGTTTGAGGTCTTTTTCACTGTTCCTGGAACCGGCTCGCCTCCCTAAATTCTGGCCCGGCTTCTCAAGGGGTCCAAGCGAGCCGAGCTGTGACGTCAGAAACACTGTCGGTCACTGATTGGTTGGGGGGAGGAGTCTGTGGAGTCTTTCCAAACAACCCGATCCGCCATTTTTTCTCTACGCTTACCATTAGCGATAACTCAAGGAGCGTATCTTTTAGTATTTTGAAGCTATACAACAACAATAATATCAAAACCGTGGTCAAATGCAGAAGTGCACGTGTTGTTGTGCTTGGTGGCAAAAGAAAAAAGTCAAAGCGAGCTAGATGGAGGATTGGAGGGTGGTTTGGACACAGTTACTGCTCTACTTGAATCATTTATAGAAGATGGTGAGTGTTTTCTAACTTTAAACATATTTTAAGTTACTCATCCCATCGGTTCTGAACATATTTTTAACTAACAAAAGAGGCTGACGCCATAATAGGACAACGTCGGTGCTACGATGCTAAGCTAATTTGCAGAAACGCTAACTGTCCTCTGGTCCTGTTTATCACTGTATTTTATTCAGAATGTATTTCAGCGCGTGACGGTTCATCTCTAAACTCCACATTAAACCCTCCAAGCCTCCCGGCTCCTGCTCCATCAGAGGAGTCTACACCTGACAGAGCTCCATCACAGCCCAGCTGCACCTCACAGAGCAGCACAACGCTGCAGCTTCTGTGCTCGGTAAGAACAGATGCAACATGTTCCACATCACTTTATTTGTGCCGATAAGGACTTGATTTATTTTATTTTTAAAGTAAAAAAATAAAATGTTGAATAAATACTGAATTGGGATGAAATTATGTACACAGGGTCCCAGTTACAGACAACAAAATGTAAAATAAAAACAGTAATAAGATCTAAGATATGAACTAAGAAAAATATCAACTAAAAAACATCTACTAATAAAACACTAAGAACTAATAGCAGTAAACAAACAAAACAATACGTCAAACAGCAACATGAACTTGAGTTTGTGCAGCCTCATTAATATATAACCAGGATAATCATGTTGCTGCTGATCTGTTTCATGTTGCTGCTGATCAGTTTCATGTTGCTACTGATCAGTTTCATGTTTCTGCTGATCTGTTTCATGTTGCTGCTGATCTGTTTCATGTTTCTGCTGATCTGTTTGATGTTGCTGCTGATCTGTTTCATGTTGCTGCTGATCAGTTTCATGTTTCTGCTGATCTGTTTCATGTTGCTGCTGATCTGTTTCATGTTTCTGCTGATCAGTTTCATGTTGCTGCTGATCAGTTTCATGTTGCTGCTGATCTGCTTCATGTTGCTGCTGATCTGTTTCATGTTGCTGCTGATCTGTTTCATGTTGCTGTGTTCATTCGTGCTCGTCTGTTCACACAGACTCATGTCCGTGCTGCTGTTCTGCGTATTGTGTTTAATGTTTTATGCTATTAGTGCTTATCATATTTTTAGTTGATGTTTTTATTAGTTCATATCTTAGATCTTATTACTGTTTTTCTTTTATATTTTATTGTTGGATGTAACTGGGACCCTGTGAACATAATTTTGATCCACCACATGGACCACATGAGGTGCGAATGACAAAGAATATCTGCATCTGTAGAATACTTTCTGATTCATATATCCATTATTATAATTTTCATTATTTTTAAATCAATTTATTTTTCATTTTCTTATTTGATCAGTTTATTATTATTAATATATCTATTAGAGCTGTTAGCAGCACCTTTCTTTGTTTCATGCATTTATTCAAAAACAGTATGTAGCTTGAATTAACCACCTGTTTCTTCTTTCTAGTGAAGAGAAAGAGAAAAGAGTCCAGTAAAGAAAAGTTTTATTTCATCACTGAATGAACATGAAGAACTGAAGCGGACACAGCAGGAACAACACTTGTGTCTTCTTCTGGATGAAGCCCGTGAGACAAGGAACACACAGATACACAATCATTAGTTGGACGCAGTAGTTTTTATTTTTCTACATTTTTCACTTCTTACTTTTACTATTAAACAGCTTTTTTCTTAAGTGGTGTCCTTGAACATTAAATTTCCTAAACAAATTTTACAATGTTAAGTTCATATAATGTTTGTTTAAATTCATACTGGAAGTTGAGAAGAATTTCCAGTTGCATTTGATCTTTAATGGATCCTAAGAAAAGATTACCAGAATCTGCTCAACTGTTATTATGTTATAAATGTTTTGTTCTAGGATGAAGTGAGACAAAAACAGTCAAATATTCAGAAAGGACAGTTATCATTTATCAGTTATCATTTATCAGTTATCAGTTATCATTTATCAGTTATCAGTTATCATTTATCAGTTATCAGTTATCATTTATCAGTTATTTATCAGTTATCACTTATCAGTTATCATTTATCAGTTATCAGTTATCAGTTATCAGTTATCATTTATCAGTTATCATTTATCAGTTATCATTTATCAGTTATCATTTATCAGTTATCA